CTTCAATTCCCTTGTTAGCTCACTTGAATCCCAAACTGAAAAAATAATACGAAAAGAAAATTTCGATTTTGATCATGAGAAGAATGAAAAGTTGTTATAAAATGAGTTTTAATGAATATATGTATAGGCCTCAACCGATGCTTGAAACGTCATTTCATCAATGAAAATTTCTTTTATAAAGAATCATCATTTTTAGGATGAAATATCTTATTCAATAAACATATTTTTTAAATTTTCAAAAAAGGCAATCGAATGCCCTAAATGAACAATCGGCTTCCCTAATTATATTTTCAAACAGATTGAATATCCTTCTTGGGAATTCAATTGCCTTGTCAGGGCATCCAATTGTCCAGTGCCAAATTGTTAGGGCACCAGGTAGTTGACTCCCATCAAAGAGCAATCGACTCTTCGTTTTGTGTTTTATTCAAAAGTCTATTTCAACACTTCCAAATATTTATTCTTGAACACATATAAATACTACATGATTATAAAATAATATTTAATATAATATAATTTTAAAAAATACTTCTTTGATAATATATACAACAGAGTTTGAGTCGTTTACGTGCTCAACTCAAGTTAGGCTGAGGTAAGCCAAAGTCAGCTTAAGAGCACTAGCAACTTGCTAAGCTTTGTGGCTTACTGTCCTCCTCTTTCTATAGATTGTAAGTCTTCAAAATTCTACTTATTTTATTTAAATTCAAACTTATTTTTTTTTCGTAAAAGAGCAAAGCACTGTTACAAAGGGAGAGGTCGGCTTGGTTTAAGTCCAAGCCTTCATATCTTTCTTAAGGTTTCTTTACCGTTAGGTTAAGAAATAAAAGACAAATTCAAACTTCATTTAATCGTTAAAATGCGAGTTCTACTATTAAATAGATCTTAGAAATAATTGAAAATATCCTAATTTTGAAAAGATGGTCATTCATATGAGGAATGCATTTTTTGCAATTTTCCTTTATTCCAAAAAAAAAAAAAAAGGGATTAAGTTGTTACAATTAATGAGATTTGAGTTTTAAATAAAATAATTAAAACTAAATAAACATTTGACTAAATAATTAAGGCATATATTTTACTATTAATTCAACAGTCAAGTTTTTTTAAAAAATACCCTCATAATTTTAAAAAAGTTGTCACTATAATTTAAATTTTTATTATCAAAATTTTTTAAGTTTGACCTCATTTTATTTTCAATTTGGTATTAATTAAAATGTAAAAAATAGTTTTTTAGAAACTTTCGTTGAAGTAATTTATATATGTACCGAAATTAATTCACTAAAAATATTTAAAATAATTTTAAATCAAAGTTGAAAATTGTTAACCAGGAAAAATCAACTAATTAAGACTTTTATAAAATGGACGGAGTCAAAAAAAAATGGAAAGAAACCAATCGGAAGGACAGGACTAAAATAAACATTTTAAATGCTAAGGTCCAACGAATCACGTGAACCGCGAAAACCCACGTGCTCTGATGTTACATAATCCGTGGAAACGTTGAGGCTAGGCCTGCGAATTGAATATAAGTCCTGACAAATCTGCAAAGCGAAAGGAAGCATGCAATTGTGTCTCGAGGAACTCTTCTTCCGGTAATTGCTGAAACGATAAGGCAAAAGTATTATTCTTTCATCTTCTAATAATATTTGATATTCTCCTTCAGTGTTATTGTATTTTGCTATGACTGTTGTTCTGTTTCCATGGGTCATAATTCTTGAAAATATCGTTCTCAGCTCACGGTTGAGCTGTTATTCTTCCCAGCAAATCAAGGATGCAATATGAACAAAAATGTTTAAAGAGAGATGAATTTGATATGACAGGAAGAAAAAGGGCAAAAGTAATTTTCGAGGAAAAGTGATGTTCTTTTGAAACCGGAATATTCACAAACTAGTCGACTGCTTGGAGGCTGTTGATGTTATTTCGCTATAAAAACTTGAACAAAGAAAACCCCAATAAAGCAAGTAGCTCATGAATTCCATTTGCATAATAAAAAAAAAAAAAACACTGATGGCTCGATGTCCAGCCTGGGAGAGCTCATCTTTGTTCGATAGGGTTCCCAAAATGATAATTAGCGAATAAAAGTTGACAAAACGAAGCAAAAAAAAGAGTGGGTGGAAGCATTCATCGCCACCCAGCAGTCAACAGCTTCTGCACAAAACCAGATGAGTAGTGAAAGAAATAGAGGGAAAAAAAGAGAACCATCGTACAATTTAAAACAACTGCTATATGAATAAGAGATCAAGCCAATATTTTTACTGTTTTCCTCTTTGGATTATTTTTGAAGATTTTTTAACTTTCAACGGTGCGTTTGCAATTTCATCCCCTTTTTTGTTTGACTTCTTTTTGCAGGGTAGAAGAGTGCTTTGATTGTAGATTACTAACCAGGTTTTACTAAGTAATTGTTGTTATTCCTCTTTAGTAGAATTGAAATCCCAGGTTCAAATCCCACCTCTCCTTCTACATCTCATATGTAGTTAAGGAAAAAGCTTTTGCTTAATGGGCTTGCTTGCACTGCTGGCCCTCCTCCCTGTGAGACAAAGAGGGAATTTGTTAATTCAAATAGTTGATTTTTTTAAAAATAAGTTCAAGCTTTGAGTTTTTGACGCTTTATTGGGGTTAATCCATTTAGGTTATTTGGTGTCGTCTTTTTTCTAATTATATGATAAAGATAAAATTTTAATATAAATAAAAAAATTGATTTAAAATCAAACTTTTAATATTTTTTTAAACTTCTTTAATCATTAAACTAAAACTGAAAACATTTGATGTCGTTTTTCGTTTGTTGATGGAATAGTTTGCAATTTTTTTTCCTCCAAAGAAAAAATAAGAAAGAGAAAAGGAAACCGTAAAGGCACAGTACTTCTCGAATTCCTTGGCATAAAACTGGATAGTGCAATAAAGAGGGAATAAATTTTCATTCATTGTAAAATTAAAAAAAGTTTTAGCATTATTTTTTACATTATTTATTTAATAATTTTAAAATAAAGTGATAAATTCGAAAATTATATTTTAATTTTATCTTTTAAATTTGTTAAAATTAATAATTATAAAAATTATAAAATTTTTTAATTTAACACTAATATAAATTAAATAGTACTCTTCAATTAAAACAAAGCGAACTGTGCAAGCAGCATGTGATGGGGCTAGACCAATAGGGTGCTGGAATGGCTGGACTTGCTTTAGGCAAATAGCGACAAAATAGGGCCCAGCGCTAGATCTACACTAATGGTTCACATCGAATGTAGTTTGAATATTCCAGTTAAAGTATAATATTTTTGAATTTTTTAAATTTGATTGGAATAAGAACCCAATCAAATTTATTCTGAAATCAAATTAACGTGAACTGAATTTTATTATTTTAAATTAGTTCATCAATTTTAAAAATTATATTTTTAAAAAATTTTACAATTATTTTTATATTATTTTAAATAAATTTAAATATAAAATAATTATTTTACAATTGGCGAGGGCTGACCTAGCTTAAGCTATTGCAAATTGCAACGGCCATATTTTGTCCCCCTTTGTCGGCCTACATTTAATTTCTACTATACACATTTGAATATCTGACAACACTCCAATCTGTGTGCAGGCTATACGAGAACTTGGCAAGAAAAAGTCTTCGTCGTCGCTCGGAGTCATGACAAAACTAGGTGAGTGTGAAAAGTTTCCTTCTCGGCTAAAAAAATAATAAAACAATAATTCATGTTATCATAAAGCAAAATATCCAAAGAAATAATTAAATATATTTTTTATAAATGCCAAATTTTATTCATTGAAAAAAAGTACCAGACCTGCTGCAAGACAAACTGGCCGC